TTTTTTTTTAAGAGATATATTTCAAAACCAGTACTGAAGTCTATGTCTTCAATACTGCCTTAGACACAACTAAGCGCCTAAGTGAATGAAAAATTCACAGGTCTATCTGTCTATCTGGTGCAACTCAAAATGATTCATTTTGTGCGCTGGCAGGTGCTGTACTGGCAAAAAAAATAAAGTTATCCTCATTCACCTGGCATAAAAAATGCTATCTTCTAAACTATATGATATTATGAAATGTGGCTGTTACTTCTTTAGTGCCACCATAACACCTAAAAATTCACCTGATAGAGCACTGACAGGTCACTCACCTGGGAAGATAATACTCTACCCAGGACAAAACTATGTAGAGGATTGTATAYGAGGGTGCAATAAATACATTCTGGGATAATGGAGATAGGACAAAAGGCAAAGAGAAAGAAAAATGAAGACCATTAAAAAAACTATTCAAAGAAAAAGTAAAGATGAAGCTCAGTGCGGGGCATAGGCGTATGAGATCAAGAGAGCACTGGAGGGAAACACCACGTGTGCAGGAATAATGTAATCAGGGGAATGCATTCATAAGAACAAGCGATGTGCCAGAAAGAACAGATACAGAAAAAATGTTATGTTTAGCAATCTGTAAATGGGATTTGATGAGGCACACACGGAGACTTAAGGAGCTCATGAGAAAGTGTTACTGAAACTAAAGACTCTTTGTTCATATGTGTGTGCTTAGCAGAGGGGAATAATTGTATTTTTCAGTGATAAGAATCCAAATAACGAAGATAATGTGCGGGAGAGTAATCCAAAATTGCAAGTTTTTTTCAAATTTTACTGAATAAAGAACAGAACATTTCTGTCAGCATCTAAAAAAAAAGGAGAAAATTTGTGGCTATATCACGCTTCATTATACACCATTAATATAAATTGTAAGAGAGCTCAGATTACATTTTGCAGGAAAAAAAAAGGAAACTGGATATATATGGATAACAAAGAAAAGGATGAAAGCCAAAAAAGTTGTTACATGTTTTCAAAATAAGCTAAAAGAATTTCAGCCTGCCTGTTTTAAGGCACATAATCACAGACTGCCTAATAATCTTGGCACATGTTGTTTCCTCCTAGAAGCCCCATACGGGATGAGAATCTCTAATTTTAATCTCCATCTACCCCAAGTGTGCTGCGGGGGCTTTTTCCTCTAACACATACCATGGCATATCTGAGGCTGGATCCTGTTCCAAGGACTAGCTTTCAGCGGGTTTAATTGCTCAGCCACGGACAATAACACCCACAGTGACCTCACATAGCAAGAATTAAYGCATTAGAGCACTGAAGGCCACTGGGACTTGTGCTCATTTTCATCATGCTKTCTTTGCTGCCAAAACAACACTGCTCTCTGCTTAAAGTCCTAACAGGCAATTGAACGGCTTTTGTTGGAAGAAAAACACTCTGCTGAGCTCCAAAGCCCTCAGCTCCATCCTAGTCTAGTAGATCAGGGCACATCTGAGGGGAGCCCCACAGAGGTGGGGAGCAGCTGAGAGGAACACATCATTAGAAACAAACAACTGCTAGTGCAGCTTGCTGTATGGTAGCAGACAGTGCAATTCGCACAAAAATACTGTGCATCTGGAATTTGCTGTCTCCATCACATGACTCCCGTTGCAGGTGTTCTGGCAAACACCGCCTGCTTGCACAGGATGATGAGAAGATCCAAGGGTAATACTATTACCTGCATCAAGAAAAACAGACAGCTGTGCTCATTCTTTTCCTTGGCAAGAAATAGGATGAAAGATGGATATAGAGACTCTATAATCTTGAAACCACTACCCTCAAATGTGCTCCTATATCCTACAAGCATCCAATTCACATAGGCATCTGTGAGCTCTCTTCACAGTTCATAYACTGCACAGGGCATTCTGAGTGATCTTTATCGAGTAACTTAGGYATTTATATCATTCATAAATAATACTATCTTCTATCCGCTATCACATAAATAACACAATCACAATGCTTTCAAACATTAATCTTACACGTATCTTAACAAAATAATTTGTCAATAAAACCCAGCTTTGCTAGCACAACTAAAGGCATGTCATATGGAAAGATTATTTCCCTAAATGGTACGCTTTCCAATCTAAAAGTAATGTAAAATAAAATTTGCTATTACTYTTACACCATTGAAAGAAAAAACAGACTAGGGTGCAGCACTACATTCTTATGCCTAAGGTGTCATGCTTAAAAAAAAATCTTTCATGTCAGTCAAAAATCAGCAAAATGTTTAACTATGCCTCTCAATATCCTAATTCTTGTTTGCTAAACAAGATTTTCTTTCTTCTTTTAGGACCTGCGGGAAACGATGGCTGCACTCTGRATCTACAATCTTTTCTCCAGTATTATCAACTTTCTCCACCCTCCCCACCCCAATATTAGGTAGCCACATGGGAACTAAAGCCACACGGGCCTCTGGTTCCTGYACCTCGCAAAAATCACTCTTCAGACTAGCATCCAGGAACCTGGAAAAAGGAAATTTTTCCATGTAACAACTTAGCATTAAACCATAATAAGGATTTTATGAGTATTAATACTTGCYGCTGTTTGAAGAATCTGCCACCAAATCCAACGTCTTTGATGAATCAGTTAGTGAATTTTTAGCCATTCAACCATAAAGCAACCACAAAAGCTCACTCCGTGGTTCTCCCTCACAAACAATACAGAAAATTCCTCGTCTGCAAAGGACAAGAAAATGAACGTGACTGCACAGTTAGAAATTGTTTTCACAGAGAATATCCAGAGCTCGACTCTGGACAAGAGAAGCAGAAGAAGAACGCTCGGCTCCTGGAGAAACGGGCACGGGGGAGGCTATTGCTGAAGAAGGGACAATCTGCAAGTCCCCACAGCGTGGCTGCACCACGGCTCAGTTTGTGGTAGGCTGAGCTCATGCCTGTTCCCACAGCGTGAATGGCTAGTGTGCACCTTGGACAGGTTTTTTCCAAGCAGGAAGGAAATAAGCAGAATTCTGCAGCCCAAAGTAACACGAAAAGATCAGTTCCCAGGGTACGTGTTATTTTGGTACTGCTTATCACGCATTACAAAAATTTGCAAAAAATATCTTCACTTGATAAGCTGAGAATTAGTACTGCACCTACGAAATATTGCAAAGTTCAGGTTCTTTTTTTTTTTGTTTTCCAAGACTATTTTTCTATGAAGGCAGTCAGTGATATTTCTCAGTTCATCAGATAAATTGAACATCTGCTCTTTCAAGTGTAAAGACAACTACAGGGACTGAGGAATATTTGGCTGACAACAATTTTCTATAGCATATCTTGGACATAATGTTTAAATAACACTGAGATAAGGCATATTGTGTTGCCTTGATTTGCACCACATTGTATATTACACAGAGGTGTTAGATTTTAACGGTCAACAAAATATAAATAGACATAATATATTTAAGATGTAAATAGAATTTCTTTATATGAGTAATTTAATTTCTATACTTCAGTGTTTATCTTGTTAGACTGAGAATTTTCTATTCAGCATATATTTTTAGCTGAACATGCAGGCCCAATCCCGCCTCTACTAAAGCTRAAGTTCTTGCTACCTTCAAAAAGATGAGGCTCAAATACAGAAGGCCGCAGTTACCACTGTTATTATAAACTCCAAAAGTACCSTAAAAAAAACGTAAATCAAGTCTTCATTTTCAGTGTAAGATACACATCTGACTTGCTAGTCATTTTGTTACACTAAATAAGAAGTTTTGGTAACAGGGCTGGATTCCTGACTTAGACATGTAAATGAATTAAAAAAAAAAGACAAATTAAGTAGGCTTGAATTTGTTGCGGTATAATCAGATCTACTCCTAGTTCGTCGACACGCGCACACACACACACAGGGCAAGAAAAAAACAAGGCAAAGCACCCAGATTCCAGACTGTCCTTGCCGGTCTGTAGGGAATGTCCCTTCCGTCTCCTGGGAGGCTTTGACTGGTCCCAGATCCCTGCTGGCTCTCTTTTTCCAATTCACCACTTCAAGTCTTTGCAAAGTTTTCTTCCTTGAAAAGGCTCTGCAGTTTATTAAAAGAGCATTTCCCCTTTTCTCCAGGGTGTCTGACCTCATCCACTCTTCGTCAGGCAATATGAAAAGATTATTAAGAACAAAGACTGAGGAAAAAAAAAAATCCAGATAAATACTGTCTGCCAGAGGCCCACATTGTTTTTCATGGACATATACACTGCAAAGTGCTGTTACAGGCACTCTTTAATTATTTTTATTATTACYGAGAAGACAGTATTACTTCCTAGATTCTTTGACTGATGTTCCTTGAAAGCAGGTATTTTTCTCCTTTGCTATACTCTTCTTCAAAACCATCTATGTATCCCCTACAGAACAAGATGATTATGATAAGTTCTGTCTTTATCCCTGCATGTCTCATTTTAGCAGTAGACCTGAAGCAATTTTTTTGTCTAAGTTCGTAATAACCTGAAAGGACCTTTCCTGTCTCAGGCAACTGAACAAATGTTATTTCGTCATTTTATCTGTCAGCTCCTATGGCAATTTTATCCAGAGCTTGCTTTCCTCTCCTCTGCTATTACTATAGCACCCTGAATGCGACTTTGATGACAAAGATATTTTCACTAATATTGCCTAYGAGAAAACATGATGCACAGAACAGAATTACTTTCTAAATCGCTACTGCAGGACTTAATAGTTTAAATTTTATATGGCTAAAGCACTATTTTCATTTCCATCTTTAAACTGCCTTTTATAAGCAACAACAAAARCCTACCTGTCTGCATTCTGCTACAGGACAGTATAAGCTCCACTTCTGCAGAATATATAAATATACAGTTTGGATGCCATCCAGCAAATGAGGCATACTGTAGTGTCAAAGCTTCCTCAAGTCACTGGATAGACTCTCCTGACTTCAGCAGGCTCTGGAGCATGCTGTGAACTGCTCAGATTTGAGCAGAACATGAATAACTTCTTCTCCRGCCTGCTGGCTCCATCTCTTTCTTTTGTTCCTTCTTCCCTGAAATGACACCTGTGGTTAAAACAATTAGATATAAGCAACTTTTTTCAACCATTCCTCTTATGTTGCTGTTTCTGAAGGTGAATAATATCATTCCTACAATAGGGAGAGAGAGAAGAGCCTAAGAACAAAAGCAACATTCTTCCCAAGTAGTTAACACTCTGATCGGATATTAGACAGGATGCTGTGCAGATAAACTGGTCCTGGGTATCCAAGGTGTGCAAGTATCTTCGATAACAGCAACAGGAAAGGAGGAAGGTCAGTGTAGAGACTGAGAGAATAACTTGGGGTTCACACTGCTCTTGCAGTGCAKGAGTTTATGTAAGAATCTGCAGGTGATCAGGTTTACCTCCCTTGCAAAAATTTTGCAGCTATGAATAGTCCTAGATCTCAACTCTGAAGAGCTCCAAGATCCTCCACAACATATACACACATGCACACACCTCCTATTGCACTATTTATTTGCATGCTGGCTTTCTTTTAGGAKAGTTATTGGAAAAGTGTCTTATTGAAAACAACAGAGCACTTATTCTTTTATCCATATTCTCCGTCATGTCCCATTATAGAATCCCTTCATTCAGGACAAAAGGGACACACTTGCAGCAGGCAAGGTCCCTCTCCAGCATTGTTAGGCTGCTTCTACTGGTCTCCTGCCTCATCTCAAGAACYCGTTGTAAATCTGCAGGTGAGTTTGATGGCCTCCTGCTTTCATAATGACACGGCTGTGTCACTAACACATGGGACTTTGTCACACAACAAGTAAGAATCAATAAAGGACTCAAAAGCAGCTGCAATTTACTGAAAATGCTTTACATTTTTAGCCCTGGAGGCAGTCCTTTGTGGAAGGGCAGCTGCCACAGCCCAGACAAATGATTTCTTGATCATCATCAATCTGYACCAATGTCTCTGGGCTGCTATTGAAGCGTTTTCTTTTTACTGCACATGATGGCCCTTGGTTCTGATTCTCTTGGCTCATCTGCCATTTATAAATGGCAGAGCAGTGGTAAAGTGGAAAAATTTTATTACAAAAAAATCTAAAAATCTAGTTATTTGAGGCTTAAAAAGAGATTTTTTTCCTCTAAAATTCAACTATTAAAAAAAATATTTACACTTACTCAATTCCAGTGTGGACTTCTGGAAGAACTGTAAAAGAAAAAAGGTAAAATTATTTCAAAGTCAAAAATTTCATATTATATATTTTTAAAAAACTAATTACCAATACAGATTGTTACTTTAATTTATTCTAACTCTCAAGGCAAGRCATATACAGCAGAGTAAAAATCCCAGGTCACATGTCTTTTTTTTGGTAAAGTTGCTTATGATTTTGACAATCAAACCCATTTTCCATGAAGAAACTTAAAATAAGTTTGTTTCATGCTTCATTCTGAGAAGAGTGAYTACTCTGCAAAAAGTGGCCTTGCAAACTAGCAGTAGGTGTCAGCATTTCTGCTTGGTGCAATGGTCTGTGCTGCTACCATGCAGCTTGGAAAGACATACTTTGCAAAAAAATGTAAAATGAGAATAAATTAGAATTTTCCAGATGGAGGCACATATATGAAGCCATATTGATGCTCAGTATGAAYGCATTCAAAATCAAGATTTAAATAATATGGCTTATATGTAAAATTGACAGTATGAAAGAAAAAAATTCTAACCAAAGCAAATTGGAATAAAGTTGAGGACAGCCATTTGTCTCCACTCAGTGGTTTTCCAACAACATAAGGGATCACAGTTCTGGAAAATGCAATGATTTGTAGATGCTAAAGGTATGAAATCCTGCTTTCAAAGAGGTCATTGAAGAAAAAGCTATCACTGATTTCACTGAAATTAAGATTTAATCCAGGCTGGTCCTTCGTTGCTTGTTCTTGAACAGTGTTAAGAAACTAAGACAGGAAACTGATCATAAGAAAAGCCATGTTAAAAGAATCAATTAAAAATTCATTAAAATATTCCTATTCYACTTCATCCTTAAAGATTATGCATAAAAGAGAAGAAAAAATTATGAGACAGAGAGGAATTCTTTTCCAACCTCCAACTATGTTAGTCCTTTAAAATATCAAGATTTTCTTACATGCACCAGTTTGACACTAACCTGTCACTAGGCAGAGACATCTCTGGGCTTGATCTTTGGTTAAACTACGCTGACAAATTGTGATCTTCATGCAAAAACAGAAGTCACAGACCACCACAGCTGGAGTTTGGCCAAAAACCTTTGAATTTGTAGCTGGCACACGAACCAAAACCAAAAATTAGAGCAAAACAGAATTAACATTATATCAGTGTCAAATGGGCCACAGCACTTCAGGACAGAAAAATCAAATAAAAATTTTTTCAGTGTTTTTCATGGGGACACAAAAGGCTGCATCAAAAGCTCAGGGTTATAAAGCCAGCATTTAGTTAAAGTTTCTTGAACCTTCTGTTTCASTAGAGAGATGGATGTTTAGGGTGTTCTTCATCAATGGAGGGGATGCAAAAATTATTAAAAGGTATTTCCAGTGAAACGGCTATCCATAACTATCTCTACACAAAAGAATTTCCTCACATATGATATTCTTCAAGATTTACTTTTTTTCTTTCTTTTTTTTTTTTTTTTTTTTAAACAAAGCCTTGAGAAACTTGATAAATTGCCAGATAATCCTGGTGTTAAGAGAGGCACAATGTCAGGAGAAACTTAACCCAGATGAAGAAGCTGATGTGAAAATCATGAAGAGCATTTTAGCTAYCTAGTTGTCTGACATTGTTTTCAAGAAAACAGCTTTATTTAGTGTTCAAGCTTCTTACAGTGATCTCATTTGATTATCACACAGATCTCTGATCTAATTCTCATCTCTTCTGGGATAGCAGCAGCTCTGATGGAAGCTMTTGCCTTTGAACGTGAAATGAGTTCACTTTCAAGGTTGCATTTTCTTTCTCTTTCTTTTTAAACTATACTTCACGGAAACTATACTACATCATTGAAAGTTCATCTTCATGAAAGAAATACTGGACTATTTTAAGTATTTTCTTAATCCAAAGTACTGGTGCTGACACACTGATTCCCTCATCAGTTAAAAATATTTTCAGATGCTAYATAATGTAGTATACACACAACGATATATATATCTATAGCGCCTGCATATAGTTACAGACATCTACGTATATGCRTGTAACACGTAAATACAAAAAGGCTGATAGGTTCTCCCTTTCTCCTCATCACTGCAACACGTGGAATTTAAAATAGATAAACAAGAGGCTTTGCAACTTTTAAGATGTGCTTGAAAGGCGCATAATGTCAAAYCAAGACAACGTTTTCTGTTGCTTTATCTAAGCTTAGTTTTATCCGTTATTCTTGATGTAAGTCATTAAAAATGCATATAATGAATACATTAGTAATGACACAGTATTTAACTTTATTGCAACAGGCAGCGAAAAACTACATTTGTGCTTTTTGTTTCATTCCTGACAATACTAGTCAAGTCCAGAAAGATTAACTAAAATGTAGAAGGACGTCACGTAAGTGAAAAATATAGATTGTATTATCTAATTACATAGCATCAGAGTAAACTACCATAGTAATGTGTTTATATCCTATAATATAAATATTCCTGGAGATGCTAAGAAGCTTTAGAAAAATCACAATATTGCTAATTTGGACATAAATGTAAAACATTGTGGTTTATTATTATGGTTTAAAAGCCAAACAACAGCCAAGATGCCTCACTGTGGGCAGATTCTTTCCTTTGGTTTGCTATTAACGTCATGGTGCTCAGTGAAAGAGCACTTGCATTTGAAGTAAAATGCATCAGATCTCTCTACAGAAAGAGGGAGACAACATCTGACAGTCAGTGACAGACAGACAAAAGAAACAACACGCAGAGACGGTGTAATGCGGCAGGGAGAAAGGAGAGGCATCGGGATGAGAACAAAGGCAATGAGAAGGGAGAGCAAGCAGGAAGAAAAAAGGAGAGAAAGAAAATATACCAACATAAAATTTGTATTTTGAAGACTACCATCACAGACCAGAGAGGAGGAAATATGCCTTTATATTGAAAAGGTCAGGTTAGGCTTGATATTCTTCTAAAACACTAGAAAGCTGAACTCAAAATGCAGGCACCAGAGACTTGGCCTGCCTACCACTGCTCTCTTTGACAGCCAGGCTCCAAAGAGATTTTAAAATAGGGTAGGATGTGGCCCTGCCTGCGTGTGTGGCAGATAAAGCCTTTTTCCTTCTCACGTTGCACAGAAAAAAATGGCCCCCTTTAGCAGCATATCCTCGTGGGAGGCAGAGTGGAAATGAGTTGTAAGCCCATCAAGATTACTACAATGCTAATTAAAACATGAAAAATAAATACACAGTTCTTACTTTGCTATAAAAAATGATCTGTTGATGGAAATGTTCTTCCTGAAATAYATTTCACATGCCATGCTGGAATTATGTCAGCAATCGCTTGACCAACATGCTCAAACAAATCACACAACCTACCAGGTTAGAGGGCATGTAATTACAGGTGGGTGTGCTAATCAATTCAGGCTGAATATGCAGCACCTATAAACTCTCCTTTATTGCTGTTTTTTAAAGCAAAACTAGTCTTAACTAAGCCTGAAGCTATACACAGGCTCCGTGCTTGCGTTTCGCAAGGAGGGAAATTGCACTAYATGGGAGTTAACCACAGTTTATTACAGAAGACTAAGCAGCTTGGGTTGGGTTGGATTGAGCAAGGAAAATCARTATTGCACAGATGGTTGTTTTTGGTTGTTTTTAAGGCATGTGTGGGTATTACAAGCAAAGAGTGTTTTGATATACACAAAAATACAAAATACCTGTCAGGTGCTCTYTATCTCATGTCTACCACTAGCAGAACTAGCCATGTACACTTGGCCATAGCACACCTACCCAATAGGTTTGCAAGAACTATCCTAAAAATAATTTATTTATTCTGACTGAGCAATATTGGTAGAATTAATTTTTAYCYCCTTAAGATTAAATTAAATACCCTATTTAGAGARAAGGAAGAAAAGAAATTGCAGTGGGGAAGACAGAAGGGAGGTATTTCTTTTACTATTTAGAGAGGACAATAGAAGGAAATACAGGACACTGCATGTGTGTGCGCACGACTGTGTGATGTGGTATGTTTGTCTCTGTCACCCTTAGGGATTTTTGCTTTTCCAAAAAAAATCATCATCCTTGTGTGCTTTTTCTTCCCTTCTCCCTTTTTTTTCAAGGGCTGAAGAATTGGTAGAACTTGACAGAGCAATTGCAGTATTGGTAAGAATCTTGTTTTTAGCAGATGAATCCTGAACTATAATACAGGATCCTGAAATGTACTTGAAAGTAATAGGGCTATGTTACTCTAAAACCTATCTTTCAACTTCAGGGCAACTTCAACACCAAAGGTGTCCCTGGATTTTATGAGTTTATCTGAAACCATGGGGATATATTTTATATACATTACCAGAAAGGCTGCTCTAGGTTTTCGCTGGCTCAGAAATAGAGTTTTTTCAGGGACCGTGCCATTATTCTAGTTAATCAAAAGACAGAATTTATTCCCACTGCACAATATTGTACCTAAAACTCAYGCAAGTTTAGAAATCCATTCAAAACTATACTCTCTCAAAGCAAACACAATTTCTTTCCCGAAGCCTGACGCCTGGAGAGTCTTGCTTGCAAATACATTACAACACTGAAAACCAAAGAAACTTTACTCCAATTCATCACTGAAATGCAACCATCTCTCACACAAAACGTAGCTTCTTAAAAAGGTTCCAGACTGCAGAAGGTGAGTAAAATTGAAAGAATTTTCTAGAATGCATATACRACTTGGTACATGTAAAACTTTCATCAGATGAACCTTAATCATGAAGYATGTCTTGAAATATTTATTTACTCATTTATCCCCCTTAAATGACTTTTTTTCCATCACTCAAGCATATTCCACAGGCAAAATATTAGACAGAGATACAGGSATGGGCAGGACTGGGACCATCTCTGGTTTTAGATTTATATTGTTGAAATAAAGAAAACAGAAGAGACACAATCCAACCTCTCCATCCCATGCCCCATATAAATATTTAGACCTCACAAATGGAACCTCATTCATGATGTATTTATTAGTAACTTGGGTATCAGAAATGATCTGAAGATGAAATTGATTCTGTGGCTGTGGATAAATTCAGTATCAAGTTGTAGATTGGCTGATGGGGAAAAAATGATAGTAAAAAGAGGGATCAATGATGATCCAGTAACACAAATATTCTTGGTACTTTCAGAATCTTTATCACAAGTGTGCTGGAATTTACACTGAGATGTAATTGAGAATTCAGAAGGGTTATACCCCCCAGAATTTGGGACCCAGGAGCTCAAAAGGAATGGAGCACATAAATAATGTATTTCCTGTTATTCTTGGTCTGTAGCTGATCTCCTGCTGAGCACTGAGAAAGAGTTTCAGATCCCTAAGAGACAGCTGGTGTCGTCTAGCATGTTTGAGTGATTTTGCGAGCAGAGAATGAAAGACATAAAAGGAAAAAATGAGAATCGAAAACTAAAGAAGTATTTTCTCTTGTAAGAAGCCGGAAAGGTTAAAAGCTGTGCAAGAAGGAAGAATTAAGATTTATCTAAAGTATCACATTACTTGACAAAGTCTCAAGTAGATTAGATGGAAATCCAAACACATGCATTTCTTGGCAGAGAAACAAATTCATGTTCTTGGTAATACTTTGCATTTAGCTTCAAATACTAGAAAGTCAATAAGACTGTGAAAAAGTTTAGAATGCTGAGTCTGAACCTACAAGTAGGGATTACCACGTGAGAGAAGCTGAGTAAAGAGGGGATGAGTATCCCAATGCTCTCTCCGCAAGTCCAACATGGAGCTTCACAAATCATCCTACCAGAGCTACCAAAGGGCTGTGGTGCCGCGACCGCGAGCAGAGCCCAAGCCAGAAATTTGTGCAAAAATTCAGCACAACTTCACCTTCTTCTCACGCACCAACTCATCCCTCAGGCACTGCCTACAGCAAAGAYGGTAACGGCAAAACTTCTCACTTCCAATAAATACTACCTGTTCATACATCAGGTTTTAACAATAATTACTTCTAGCTCATTGCGTCTTCTAAATTGCAGGTTTAAAGTGAAAAACTCGCAGAAACAATCCCACTGGCAGCAGAACTTCCAGTATGTTCATGCAACCTCCATGTAACAGATGATTTAGCAAAAGAACCCTCGAAACATGTCCCAGCTTGAAAAGTAATTTCAAGAACTCAAGGAAATGAGACAGAAAACTGCTGCTTCTCTGCAGCTCTATAGAGAGCTGAAATGTATAAATCATGGCTCATGAAAGAAATATGGGGAATAGAATTTTGCAGCAACTTAGATGATGAATCCTTGCGTAGATAACCTTCAAAAGATACACACAGCACTGTCACAGGGAAAAAACTCCAATGGAAAGCAATCTTGCGCTCCTTATGTGCTACTGCAATCAGCCAGAAAATTAACTGATGTAGCCCAGAGGACAASATATTATCAAGAAGGGTCTCAACCTACTTAATCTTATCCTTAATATTAAGCACCTAAGCTGTTCCATTAAGTAACAAATATGTGAATAAAGCTTGGACTAATTTCTAGCAAGTTATTTACTTAATGCAGCTACCTGTTCTAAACACAAAATATCCATGACACTATTATTTTTCAAGATACATTAAATTATTTAGCATTTTACCTGCATATTTCTGGCAGAAGTGCTTGAGCTGTACTCCTCTCAGTGAAGTTCAAAGTTGTTATGAAGACGTTGATCCATCATATATTATTTACAATTAATGAGCCATACCTTCTTCTTAGTGACTAGAAAAGTATAGCTTTTGCATACTCTGACATGYTCAAAATTCTCTAATATATACATATTATCTGCTGTTTCTGCAAAAAAAAAGCTTCCCTTAGTCACTAYACATATTTATAAAAGCTGGCATAAATTCAGTCAAAGCATATTATTTTTCTTTTATCTGGGCAGTCAGATGTATTTCATTTTTTATATAATATTCACCATGCTGTACTTCATATATTCTACCAGTTAATAAACCAAAAACTGAAGCATATTTAGAGTAATATATTACTACTATAAGTGCTCCTTAACCAACAGGACAGTCAAAACAGTAGGGCAACAAGAAAATATTGACATCAAGGAGGAAAGAAAAATGCAGAAACCTGAGAAGAAACTTTAAATACAGTAATTTAAAATACCGAAATTGTGAAAATACAGATAAGAGAAAAAATWAGATTAGGCAGTCTCAAGATTGGCTTGAGAATCATTCAGCTTTAATCAGTAACTTGTAACATCTAAGGAAGTAAGACAAATAACTCTACAAATAAAACAGTACTGTGATACAGAGCAGTCAACCTTTCTCTGTATCGAGTTTGGCTGGGTCATTTTGATTCAATCCAAAGCGACTGAAATCTTCTAAACAACTTCATTTTACTGTCCCAGGAGGCAGGGGATGGTGAAGGAGAGTGAAGGTGGCAGAGCAGGGACGGGAAAACAGGGATACAGTTGGGACCAGGCTTCCATGCTGTTGGACAAGAGCACTGCCTGGCACCGACTCAGGTCACCTCATACCACACTGAGGTACCCCTGTGTGCAGTTGTGACAGCTCTGTCACCAAAACACCACCTTGCATTCAGATCCACTGCAGCTTTGGACCCATCACATTCAACAACAGAGCACTGAATTGTGTGGATAGATATGTGCATTTCGTGTATACATGAAGATGATGAAAATATACATTTACCTGTGGTTCTCGTCTTCTGATGGATATGGACCTACGTGTAAACTCCCACAGTAGCGTCGTCTCTCACTTCTCCAGCCTCTCCCAGGGAAGGCAGTAAGAAACTTCCTTGACTAACCACAGTTGTTCTGACCTGAATATACAGCCACTCTCTTATTGGAGACTTGCTGGAACCACATGAAAAGCCTTTTGAACAAAACAAGCCTCGTATTTTTATAAATAATGTATTAATTTTTTTTTTAACTTAGTCTTTTAAAACTATGAACTTTAGAAATGATGGGTAGTTTAAAAAAAATACATATCGTGAGCAGAGACTCTCCATTGTAATTGCCAAGGAAGTTTCACCAAAGACTGCATCATGCACTGAAGTTACCAAAAAATGCCTCTCCTTATGCAAGAGTCCATGGCATCCTGCTGTATCTGCATGCTTGTGTCACTGCTTTACAAATTCACAAAAATGACATTCTCGCATCCTAAGATAACCTCTGCTTCCTCATTCCCGAAACAAGCCTCCAGCCCATTTCACTCTTAACAAGTAGCTGCTGAGGTAATTTTTGATTGCTAGCAACATGGCCAATTTATTCCTTTAGCTTTTTAGTGCTTGCTTGCAGGTGGAGAGACTGACAATGTTCCCCTTCTGTTTGAAGAACAAGCCACCTGCTCCATTTCTCTAGCATTTGCCTGTCACAGTGCTTCCCTTTGCTGAATTCGGTGCCCTTGGCATGCTTCGAGAAAAGGGAACAGATACCTGAATCCCCAGGGGACTTCTACATTCTTGAGCAGTCATCCTTGAACTGCATCAGAATAATTCTTCTTAGCTTTGGCAACCAAAAAAAAAGGAGGGACACTTCGTTCCTTTCTCCACAACCAGAGCATTTCAGCAGCTATTCAGCAACCCACAGCCCAGCAATCACCATTATCCTACCAGTAAATGAGTTCTTATTTATTATACTGTACAATGCAGATTTGCAAAATGTGCCTAAAATTCCATATGGCACTGGCAGGAGGAAAGACAAATAAAATATCACATTACAGTAAAACAAACCAGAATGCTTAGCAACAAAATACATGTTATTGCAAGTGAATTTTTAATCTTGGAGTAGTATCTACCCACTAAAACTGAGAAATGGCCACTTTGAATTGCAGGGAAAAGTCCTCTTCCCCATAGTTTTGTCTCTTTATATTGAACTTTTATAGTTGTAAATCTCATGCATTTTTATGGATGTGCATGTGGGCAGTTTTTCTGAGCAGATACAGAATTAGCAACGATAAAAAACAGTTAGTTGCTAACTCTGTAGACAGATCTTGCTCTGTCTGACATCTATCTAAAAATATTTTAACTTTAGAACTATTGCAGGCAGTTATCAGGAAGCTGACCATTTCAGAGATGCCATCTCATTAAATACCTGAAATAACTGCAAATTGCTCTGATAAAATTGAGCCCATTTGCTGAGAGAATGGTCTGTATGGAGAAGTCCAGAAATGAATAAATAAATACACGTTGAAAGGGCAGAAGAGATTTTAGTAGGATGATCTGATTACTGAAGGGCACAGAGAACTTCTCAGCTAGGATTTTAAAATGTGCCCACTGCTGAGTATGCCTAATCTTGTAATATTTTACCCCTGTGCATAGTGGAAGTAGTCTGGGGCCGGTGAGGAGCTCAGGAAGGATGCATCCCAAGTGAGCAAGTCTTTAAAAAGAAAAGTCAGCAAAAAAATCTCAGCCAAAAGGTCAGATGAGCAGAGCACGAGCTCTGCAGCTGAAGGAAATGTAAAGACAGAGAGGAGGCTGTGAGATGTCCTTCACCACTGATCTGTGCGGGGATCAGATTCACAACAACAGTTTGACCTGAAAGTCCAGGATTCCCTCAAAAGAACCCAGGGAAGAGGATGAACAAGAAACACCTGAAGGAATCCAGGTTGCAATTTGAATCCGAACGCGCCGGGAAAAGATCTCCCCTCTCTTGGTGATGAGCCAGATGAAGTCACGACCTCAAGATATCCATGAGCAGGGGTCTGAAATCATTTCATGGTTTCACCATGAAATCTATGTCAGCGTGCCATGGGTATCGCTTCAAAGAGATGACTAGCACAGCTTCTCACTGGTACGCTGACCGTGAGATGAGAGATGAACAGTCTGCACAAAGGATTGCTGTCTAAGTGTTACARAACAGGCAGAAAAACTCTAGAGCCAGAAGAGTGTGCGCGTATTGCTCTTTTGGAAACAAATAGGGAAATTACATAAAGAATACAAATAGAAAATTAAAGCCGCAGAATCCCATTGTCAGCAAGAGGGGTGTGGTATATACCTGGAAACAAAGGAAAAGACCCAATATTGTTAAGCAGACCAAAATGTTCAGAAATAAAAGCTTTTTCTTGGAAAAAATAGAATTTCCCAYTGAATACTGTTAGTATTTTGTAGGTGGTTGTTGTTGTTGTTTTTAACTTGCAACTCAGTGAACTTCATGGACAAATATTCACAAGCTACCTGGACTATTTTACTAAAACTCAGCTTTAGGGGAAATTTAGCACAAGGTAGAAGTGCAGCTGCTCAAAAATGAGATAAACAAAACACACTTACCCATTTCTTATTCAACATTCTCAGCACTAAACTTCCCACTAAAAAAATCTTCCTGTCCCAGACTGCAAGAACCTGAAGCTTAGACCAATGTTCACTTGCTGTCCATAATTTACATCCTTGACCGAACTAGCCCTGAGAAAGGTTATCTGAGTAATTTGAGAATTAATTCCAGAAGACTAAACAAAGTTGTTTATCTCCAAAACTGCAAGCAAAATCTTTGCTTCCCGAAGATTCTCAAACTACTAAGTCTCCCAAGTTTATATTGCAAATAAGGCTAAACTTCTTCTCCAAATTCCCCAAATTCTCTATTTTCTTCAGTGGGAAGGKCTTACTCAAAAGAGAAATGTATGATATGTAAGGAGCATATCTTTATTTTTCCCTTCTTGTTTTGGGACAGAATATGACTATTGAAAGTTGAAGACCTACCTTACTGTGCACTGAACATAAATACTTACCAACAAGACRGACTACAATTTATTGGAGTTGTTGGAAGGAAGATGTCCACAGAAACTCAAACACTGCTGTGTGTTACTGATCCAAATGCACTGCAGCAGAGTCTGTGCAACTCAGCACACAAAGCAGCACCTTGTTTTGCCACCTGTTTGCCAGGTTTGCCATGGGACAATAAGGCTTGACAGTGGAACCCAAAAGCTTGACACACAAGGACTTTTTTCAATYGAATGTCCCACACTCCGGATTCTTGGACACCCTCTCTGCAGTTTATCTTGCCCTCATAGGGGACTGCTGGAGAYGTGGAGATTCCTTAGAGCTGACATAAATATTTTGGGAAGCAATCTACCAATCCATCCAGCTGTTAAAGGGAGATGCATTTTAATGCTGCTGTAAATTATACCAAACACACACTTTGCCAGTGCGAGTGTGTCGCACCAGGGCCAGGAGCACACACCCAGCCTGGCATCTGTGCCTGCCCTTGTCCCCCCAACTGCAGCACGTGCAGACAGCTTGTCAAGCAAGCTGCCTGCTTGAACCCAAGGCCCCTTGGACAACCTCAGTGCAACAAGCAGAGATGATATATGGCTACTCACACTCCTCCTCAGCTGTTGCTATGGCATTTTGCCTTCCCACAAGGTGAGTGGGAAATGTTGCTAAGAAAGTCTGCAGCAAACATCAAAAGCTCTCCCTTGGCACCATGCTGTCTGTGCCATCTGCTTTGAGGGATGTTCGACAGGTCTGGGGCAAACAGATGAGRAGGAAATACCATGGCTCGCTGCTCCTTATTTTTCCTCACTAGCTGGTATTTTACTCTCCCTTTCTTCCACCTGCTTCTGGGAAAATACATGTGTGGCGAGGCAGAAAGGGGCTGTGGGGGAAAGAAAACAAAACRAACAGATCATTTCCATCAGGTGACACTTCAGTTCGCAACACAGAAGCTCACAGCATCTCACACACACAGACTAGTAGATACCATCATCATACATGTTTCTACTTCAAGCACCCATTAAGAAACAAACCCCAAACCTACCAAACCTGTTGGGATGCCCAACAGTGAGCTGAGCTGTGCACTGGTCCCCTGTTTGCTAACACATACTAAATAATGCAGAGCAGTAAGTTGAGCAGAAAATTTTCATTTAGAGAAGAAAGCAGGTTGAAATCTTTCTGAAATAAAGACATTGGAAAGCAAGTGGAAAAATATTCATCAGTAGTTTCTCATAAACAGGTTCTTTGAGAGACAGAGGCAAAATAGCCTTGTTTTGAAAATATATAAATACATCTGGAAAACAAATGGCACATAATTCAATTAAATGAGTGAGAACTTGCTGAGAATCTATCAGACAATTTAACTACAGGTGCATGAACACTGGTAGCAAGATGCTTGACACCTCATTCATTTTTATGGAAGAACACCACAAAGACCTCTACAGCACTGTTTTGAAGGCTCCTGATAATAGCCACTAAGCAGCCTCTAGATAATAACCGTGATGAAAATTTCCTGTTTATTATCCCTGACCCTTACACATTCCTAACTGCTTTCTGTGCAGGGACTGAAATGAAGACACAAATAGCTTTCTCACCACAGACAACCCCGTATTTTCTCCTCCCTGCGTGGGAGAGTTTCTCTGTTACCAATGGAAACCTGGTTGTATTACCAGGTGCTTCTTCTGGTCCAGAAGAGCCATGACAGTGGTGCAACTGCTGCCAGCAATGTGCAAGAGACCRGCTATTATGATGTAGTTAATAATATAGCTCGTCCTCTAAAGACTCATTTCTAAATTATTCATATATGTTAATTTTTCCTCCCCATTCTGTTATGTATTTGAATCAATGTTTTTTTTTTTTCTCCTCTTATTTATAGTAATATGCATTACGACCGAGATTTTTCAAAGCCATGAATCCCTTCGGTAGCTTAGAAGATCTAAATCTAATCTTTTAGTTTATACTATTTTACAGTGGATTTGCAAAGGAAGATGCTCTTTTGTTACAGCAGCCAGCTAATGCAAATTAGATTTCCCTATCAGCTGCCCGTCCTTCAGTACTGTGATTAATTAGCAGAATATTGTGAAAAATGTGTTTTTAGGCACTAATTACAGAGGACAAAAATGGACATAGGTT